TGCTTTGGGAAAAGTGGACGCAGTGGCTTTTCGGTGATTTGTGAGTTTTAGGGACATCAATGGGTGATTGTTGAGACCAATGGCTTGGGTTTTTGTAGAGGGATGGCAGATCCCCTAGGAAGAGTGGGGACATGGGGTCGTTGTTTAGGGGGATTTGCCCGTAGAGAACGAGCAGCTAGATGAATGGGAAGCGGTGGTGGACTCCATAGGATTCCCTTTTCGCAGGTTGCAACTTATCCTGTTTAGTGCACCTCCTGCTTACAAACGTTTGGTGAGTTTGTTTGCTGTTTACGCAAACGGGCTTGTTATTCAGCCTAGAAGACGGTTCAAGGAAGTTCCGGTCAGCAGTGAGGGGTAGGCCCATCGTCCTTTCCACTGCAGAGGCTTGTATTCGGGGAGCTTCAGGCTAGAGAGACAGCGGATATTTCGAAGATGGGTGTGTGGGAGGTCAGATGGTCAGTGGGGATATGAAGGCGCGTGAGGTTGACCACAGCCTTCTTTAAACGTTTACTGTCTCTTTGCCGTCCTTTAGGGGAAGCTGGTGGCAGCCTTGTGTGGATGGGTTTGTCTGGTGGCACTCTCCTCACCAGTTTATCATTGGACTGAATTTTCTGTATTTGTGCAATACAGTCCGTAACCACTGATGAGTAGTTAAACCCCACAACTAGTCCCAGCACCCGTTTATTATGTTTTGAGACTAGCCATGTGAGCTGCATGGGTTAGGCATTTTCGGGGAAGTGAGGTTTCCAAAGAGAGATTTTGCCTTCTGGTTCGGGGTCTGGTCCTTAGAAAAACGGCCCCATAATATCACCCTCCTTGCGCAAGCCTCTTCAATAGTCAGCTTTTTGGCTGTGTCTAAGATATCTTAATCGCTTGCGAGGCGGCCTTGGTTGTTTTGAGCTCATTCCAAATGTGCAATCCAAGCTTCGAGCGCTGTTGTTCGAGCCGTGAGGTGTGAGCCTTCATTTCTGCTATCTCCTCCGCGTGTGATTTTTCTGCTCATGCTTGTGCGGATAGGAGTTTCTCTATAATCCTTTCGTTAAGACAAATGCTAAGGATGTCAGCACATATTTCTGAAGGACTTTACCGCATGGGGAGAGCACTCTTATCCGACTCTTCAGAGCTACGTCGGCTATAAAGAATAATAGATGGTCTTGGGTAGGGATATGAAACTTGTAGTTCAGAAAGAAATCGATTTGTAAAAATGCACGAATATCGGAAGAATACTTTGTAGTTGTTAAATGCGAGGAACTTAGATATCTTAGTTCCCTTTTAGAGAATGAATAGAGCAAATGTGTAAAGGTGCACAAAAACGAGTGATATATCTCAATGGATATGTTTAATAACTTTTCAAGGAGAGCATGTCAAAAGTTTCAACTTGGCGCCAACTGACCTTGAGACGCGGTACTCCAAATTTAACTTCGCTATTGCTTTTTGTATTCCCACAAGTTTTATACTTACTCGGCTCCAGTTATTTCCTTCCGACCCGTAAAAATAATTTTCTTATACCGTTCAAACATTCGATGGCTGACAAAACCTCTCTCGGATCCTCCGAACAGGACACCTTCCAGTGAGGTTAGATGAGCCTGTGATGGTCATGGATAAAACTATTTCACAAGGCGAAATGCTACGTATCATACAGGAACAGGCCTTAGAACCAGGGAGGCTGAAGGCTAAAGTTAACGCTCTCGGTGAACAGGTCGCCAAACTCAACGCCCTGAAGTTGAACTCCCCAGATCATTTGGAGGCAGATCAAGCGATGAAAGTCTCCGAGCAGCAAATAATAGATTTAGCAAGAACGTTACAGGTAGACGCGACTGCTTCGAAAAGGGTTATCTCCTGGGGACATTTTCCTAGCTCTTTAACCCCTCAGAAAACGACGAACTTAATCTTTAAACATCTGGATACGACGATTTTCAANCCCTGGAAAATGGTCGTGGCTTATTCCAAAGAAAAGAAAAGCTCCCCACAGCCTCGCTGTAGATATGGGCTCCTCTTCTACAGCCCGTAAGCTCATCACGTTTTCTCCATCCCTAATACGATATTGCAAGGGTTTTAGAGGGATGTCGGTCGATAAACCCCTCACCTTAGGCTCCCTGTTCCGAAACAGAACGCCCCGTCTTACCCCTCGACAGACTCCAAGTTTCTCCGAAGCGCCTTCGTACCGGTCATACTTCTGGAAACTGACGTAACCCACTCACAGAACATCTTACCCCAAGTTTTCCCACTAAAAGAGACAGTGGTCTGCCTCGAGCCAGTAGCACGCAGCTCGGAGAACACAAATCTATGTTCTCCACACTCAGAGATCAACCGCAGAGAAAAGACGTCGGTGCTTACGGTCCCCAGGACTATAAGCCAGATAAAGAAAACCCGGTCTAGAGTAATCAACGCCCCCAGAGCAAAAAAGGGCCTACTTGGTGATCCCCTCGTCCTGGAAAGTAATTTAGTCACAGGGAAAAATCGCCTCTAGTTTTCTGTTGACACCGCTTAGAAACTCAAGATTGTCGTTCCCACCCGTCCGAAGCCTACAAAATTTTCTGAAGCTCTTTTCTACCTCCCACCTTCCGTATCCTCCCCCAACAGGAAATCAACTTTTTGGATGGGGGCTCCGGAGGTTCGCCCCCCAGAAAGGCGGCCAAACTAAGCTCGCCCATTCAGGAAACCCCCGCCCTTCCTGCACGTTGGTGTCCAACAGAATCTCCGACAGACAGCACTCAGGGTTCCTCCTCTTAGGTCCCCATCAACCCAACCCATCTACGTCCTTCAACACCTTCTCCCCTCTCTTAGCCTCATAATGAGCGAATTTTTAAATGCTTTTATTGCAACTACCTTAGCCTCCCCAATAAGATTCTGGAATTGAGGCAGATTGCACTAGACAAAAACCTAAACTTTTTACTACTGACAGAAACCTGGCTCACGGTGGACTTCACCAATGGCAAAGTAACCGTACCGGGCTATTCCCTTATTAGAAAAGAATCCACCCGCGGAAGTGCAGGTGGAATTATAATTTATTTTAAGAACCATCTCCCGCCTCCAATCCTCATAAACACGGATCCTATCCTTCTCATAGATGGTCCGTGGATCTGTTTTCAGATCTTGAGAAGATCAACTTCCTGATGTACCTAGTCCATCGCCCACCACAATCCAGTCTACTAGAGAACCAGCTGCGAATAGACCAGTTTAGGTCCGTCACGGAAAGCTGCCAACATTCTCACCTTCTCGTAGTAGGTGCTTTCAATGGCCCAGACATCAACTGGCAAAACACGTTTTTGACAGACGTCTCCCTCGATCGCCCTCTTACTGATCTTCTTGTCGAGAAATCCGGGACGAGGCATGTGTCTTTTCCGACCAGGTTCCGACAAGGATATACCCCATCTTTACTAGACCTGGTCACCACCAACGAAAGACACCAGGTTGATGTCATTGATCAGCTTTCCCCTCGTGATAAAAGCGATCATGTTTCACTAACTTTTGACTATATAGTGACCTAGAATCTGTTAAGCGATAAAACTCGATACGTTCGTTCCTTCAAAAGAACAAACTTCGAGACTGTAAACCAGTTTCTGCAACTACACAGCTGCCCCGTTTCTGAAATGTCTGTTGACGGCCTCACCAGGCACATGGAACAGGTGATCTCTCTTGCAGACTTGCAATTTGTTCCCCGAATTCGAATCACGTCTAACGCCAACCCCCCTCTCCCTCGCCCAATTCGCCGGTTGTTAGATACAAGGGCCAAGCTTTTTGCGAGATATATGAATACTTGCCTCACGGCCGACGGAGATGCTTCTAAACAAGTTAGAAAACTCTGCCGACACAAAATTCGGGAGCATCAGATGTACACCCAGAGAGCTATCCTTACCAATGCTTGAAACAATAAGCCTTTCTTTTTAAATACATCCGTACCTTGAGTAAGCCATCTCTGTGCCCGTAAGCTCTCACTTATCCAGACGGATCGATTACCACATGCTCAGCAGAGGTGACGGATACCTTCCGATCACAGTTCCAGAAAACATTCAACTCCCCTTCGGTGTTCAATCACCCCACTTTTGCAGCCTCTGAATACAAATTCCTCCCTAGGATCCATCATTTTCTCACAGGATAGGGTTGAAAGGAGACTCCGGAGCATTAATCCATACTGCGCAATGGGTCCTGATAATATCCACCCTAGGTTACTGGTGGAGTCAGCCGGTCTACTAGCTGCCCTGTAAAGCCTTCTCTTCCAACGCAGTATGGACGAGGGAATCTTTCCCACAAGTTAGAAAGAAGCCGTTATTGATCCCATATACTTCCAACGCAGTATGGACGAGGGAATCTTTCCCACAAGTTAGAAAGAAGCCGTTATTTGCCCCATATACAAAACGNGTAAGGTACATTATATCTTACGTGTATTAAAACAAGTACAAGTCCAAAGTCTTTATGTGCAATCACCACATCCTCCACAGCTTGAATGAGGTTCGGGTTTTCTGTAATTACAGTTCTTCGTAGTTCGCAATCTCTCTGAT